TTTCAGTTTCACTGTTGGGAGTTCAATTGTTTTTCATTTCCAAGCTCAGATGAACACAATGCAGGGAGAGGACCAGAACACCCTCTCCCTTTAGCTGCCTGAACAGGATGAAGCTCTCACTAGAGCCACTTTCAGTGCTCTTATGATTTGTATGAAGTAGTATCCTCAATTACAGGTTTCTTGCCCTTAAGACCTCATAAATCTTGACTTCAGATTCTGTGACTAACTGATTTAGGACTGGGAAGGCTATAGTTTTGGCACAATGAAGAGTAGATCAGCTTTAAAAATTACTAGTTTAAGTGAAACTTACAGAGGGAATAGTTAACACAACCCAGTGCTTATTTAGAAACTAATGTTAATTGCAAAGGCCCTAAAAAAGCAGGCCTCTGGAATACCACGTCAATATTCTTAGAATATAATTGAGGCAGTGTGTATTGAAAACCATTGTACTGAGATTTACAGACTCAAGACTGACTCACAATTCTGAAAATCGAGTACAAGGGGGAGGGAAAGTGGAACCTAGGGTCCTATCTCAAGGACACATAGCCCTGAGTAACTGACACAAAACCCCATCAGCCTGGCAACTAGCTTGTGCATTCACTAGGGAAACCAAGGTAGGCAATGCCAGTGGAAAGACATGGATGTTGGCCTGTAGTGATTTCATTTCACACATACACAACTGGAAAAATATGGCAAGGCCAGCGTAAAGAGGTAGCCACCTCACACACTGCTGAAGGCAGTGAAACTTGACTCAGTTCTTTGAAGAGAGCCATAAATGCATATATAACTTTGACCTGGTAATGCTATCCTAGGAAATAATTCAGAAAAAAAAATAAACCATTTACAAATGTGTTTAATAGCATTTTTATTAAAAGTTCGAAATGCCCAATAATTACGTATAACACTTGATATACATATGAATAAGCTGCTGAGTAAACACTGGAGTTAAATAAATTACGCATATAACTTATTCTAGGGATAAATAAGGAAGTACGGCTAAAAAGGATATTATAGATTTGTTTTCAGATATTGTTTAATTTGGATCCCTCTCCAGTATTTCCATCATTAGATCAAAATGATTGTCTTCTGGCTCAGAGGAGAGTGTTTGCTCTATAGCTTTACAATGTTTATCCTAACCAGATTCCAGCTTCAAGAGCCCAAATCCTTGCTGCTGGTTCCCTGGGACTTTACACTAGCACGTCTAGTTGGTTTGGACCACCAGAGGAAGCTCTCACTAGCTTCTAAATCTGTTACTTAAAATTACTTCTCTTTATGTAACCTGGCTGGCCTTGAATACTATATAGCTCAAGTTGTCCTTGATTTTATAATCCTTTCTGTGTGCTGGAATTATAAGTGCTTTGATTTCAGGCACAGGCACTACTATGCCTGGTTTAAAATATTTCATAATTTAAAAGAGGAGGAGGGAAGAAAGGGAAAAAAAAACCAACTATTATTAGAGTCAGGCCATCCTAGGAATGTTCTTTATCTTTATTCAACTTTTGGCTGATATATGAAACTATGGAATAAATATAATCCACTCCCCTCACCCTCCACACGAAGTGTGAGGATAAACCAGCAGTTTCTGGTATGCAATGTCCAGAAAGACATGTTGCCCAAAGCTGGGCTAGGGACATGGCTCCACTGGCCTCTGCAAATGAGGCCTGACAACCAGCAGCAGGCAGACACATAGTATCCAGCAGTGTCCTTGGTTCTCCCTCCTGAGTGTCACGAGCAGGACCCATGTGAAGGGAGCAGCCCGTACTTCTGTTGGAGGATTGCTGTAGTATTTTCCAGAGCACTGAGGAGGACACAGAAGTTAGTTATTGTCTAACTTCTCAAAGCCCTGAGTCAACCAGTCTGCTGATCACGGACTTCTAAAGTACTAGTCTCATGCTCTATTCATCACACTTGATGGATCCTAAAAAGGAGGAAACACCAGCAAATCTAGTCCCACTGTACCTGCCACTTCTCCATGTCTACCTCATCCTCCTCTTCCCTGCCCAGAGCAAGACTAAGAAGTAACAACCTTCACTTCCTCAAAACTTTGTTTCATTTCTCTAATTTCCCTAAAATTCTATCTTCATAGCATAGCAAAGAGACTTACCAGCCTGGACGAATAATGCCAAATTTTCCAGGCACAGATAAGTCAACCACAGTAGAACCAAGGCGACATTCAGGACTCTGGCCATCCCCAATTGGTCCCCCATCAATGACCAGGGACAAATGAGGCCAGAGGTCTTGGAATTCCTGAGAAGAGGGAAAGGAAAAGCATGGCCAAGCATACTGCACACTCAGCATAGATAAGCAAAAACCCAAATTTTGAAACAGGAGGCATCTTCCTCTAGCAGAAGAAACATCTTAGTTAAGCTTAGGACTGCTTGGATACCACATCCTAACAGGTTTTGCCCTTCTGAGTAAAAGTCCCATATAACACCTGTCTAGAACTTAAAAGGACATCAAATTCATTGCTGTTAGGGAGGCCTGAGTGGACTACCTGGGACTCTGATGGGCATCTACAGATGTGGGCTTTGATCCTAAACATTCCATCATACCCATGGTACACATGCAAGGTACTTCATCTAACCCTTCTAATAAGATGGCTGGACATTTGACCACTAAGGGTCCTTCCAGCTCTAGCATTCTGATCCTGGATCTTCATGGACTATGGATCAGGACAGGAGGAATAAAATAGGATGAGCTCTGCAAATACATGCCACATCACTGATTCTGAGCTGTGGTAAAGCTGCTCTAGCCAAAATTGTGGATTGAATTGTTTGCTGCACTAGAGCTCCCCACTTGATGACAATGTAATACACTTAGGGCTAGGAACTCAACGAAGCAGAAAAACACCAGTTATTATGTTGGCCAGGTCAACTGATGGTTGACAAGGTAAGAACTTTCCTCTCTCCTTGTCACATGTCCATCCCTGCAAACCAAGACCAAGCGAAGCCACCATTCTCATGAAAAGGAGAAGCATGCAGTTCTCAATTTCTGAAGCCCATGAGCTCACTTAGGTCTGGGCATAGAAAACTCTTGTCACTTTATATTTAAATTTAAAAAGAAAAGTAAGTGAAATTTCTTTCTGTTCCCATGTCTTCTAAACTATGTAGCCAAGAAAGATTAGAATAATTCTTTCTTTGGCCTGCCTTGTGGCAGAGATAAGAGATGAAGGTCAAAACTTATGTAAAAATCTAGTCACTTAATGGCTGTGTGACTAGAAGTGACTTTTCAGGGCCCAATTTTATCTTCACAGGACTACTAAAGATTTATGGCCTAACAGAAGTCTCTAACAAAGAGAAGACAGTTGTTTCATCAAAGTCTTTCCTATTATACAAAACCTTTCCTAAGTTTTTTTTTTCATTTGGATGCTCTCCCTCAACTTATGGCAACTGAGTAGACTTCTCAAGGATGGACCCAAAGAACCACTCTCCTACCAGGCAGTTTCAGCACACTGGTTCAGAGGAAACCATTTTTGGCCTTCTGAGGCTTCCAGGGGAAGGATTGGGCAATTCTCACCTCTATGTTCAGAGAACTGGTCTGGGAGCTGAGATTAGCACTTGTGAGAGCAAGAGGCCCCCCAAACATCTGGGCCAAGTCTTGCATGAAGGCATGGTCAGGAATCCTGATGCCTACAAGCTATGAGGCAAGAGGAAAGGGAATTATCAGGAAAGTTGGCAAAGACAGAGAATGAATCTACTCTGGATCCTGAAAAGCCAAATGGTCAGAAAAAGTCTGACACACAGGAGGAAACTTGACTCACAGGAGTAAAGGGGTTGAGGTCTTTGTTGAGCTCCCCGGAGCGTTCCATCACCAGGGTCACTGGTCCTGGCAAGAGGTCTTTCAGGAGCTCCTCAGGCACTGTCACTTGGCAGTACCTGGGAAACAAAGGAGCATAAACTTACTCCAAATGAAGAGCCAACTGAGCCAATGGTGAGCCTTTCCTGGCCTTTACGCAATTCCAGGAAAAGGGTTCCTTTGGGTCTACAAATGATCCACCTATCCTCCTGCTTCCCCTCCCAAAGAGCTTGCGCAGAAGGCAGGGCTGCAGAGAAGCACCCGGGCTTGGAGCCCTCGTTTATTTTGGGAGCTACAACAGGAAAAGCGCTGTGATTACTGTGGCAAGTCTCAAGCCCTGTTTATTCTTTTTGACTTTTCTTTTTTTTGGAAAGGCTTTCGCTGCTAAAATGAAGTTCCGGGTTTGCTTCCTTGCCGAGGGCCGCCCCTCACACGCACGGGAGCGCCTGAGCGGCGCGGCACGGCCGGCCTCCGGCGTCGCTGGTCGCTCAGCGCCCAGCCGGGGACCTGGCACACGCGAAAGGTTCGGTACAGATTTCCAGTTCCGGATTCTTCGGGGAGCCCCTCCCGCGCCCAGCGCCTCAGTCTCCCACGCCTGTCACCGGAAGCCCCTCCCGCGGTGCCGCCCCCAGTGGGGCCGGGTCGGGGCGGCCTCACCTGTAGACGTCGGCCACGCGGCCCAGGCACACGGCCAGCGGCTTCACCTCGCTGCGGCCCTTGAGGCGGTACACGGCGTCCAGTGCGGCCGAGCAGCCGGCCGAGCAGGCCAGGCCGTACAGCGTGTCGGTGGGAACGGCCACCACGGCGCCGGCGCGCAGCTCTGCCACGGCGGCCCGCAGCGCCGCGCTCCAGCCGGCGCGCTCGGGGCTGGCGGCCTGCACGGCCCCGCTCCCCGGGAGCCGCAGCAGCCGGGATCCGGGCGCCGCCGGAGCAGGGCAGGGCGGGCGGAGGAGGCGGCCGCTGCGGGCAGAGCCCGCTGGCCCGTCACCCAGCCCCACGCTGGCAGCCACGACGGCCCTCAGCCCCGCGCAGGGACGCGCCGGAGACATCCGCCCAGGCCCGCTTCCGGGGGGAAGTGACGCACACAACCAGCTTCCGGCTCGGGAGGCGCGGCCCCACCTCCGCGCCGGGCAACTTAAAGGGACCGCGACCCCGAGGAGGCTTGAAGGAGACCGGTGGGGACGGGGCGGGGCGCAGCTTTGCGGAGCCATAGCGCAGCGCTGGGGAGGGGGGGCGGCCGAAAAGGGGGTGGTGGTCGGGCCGCGCAGGCGGAGATGGAATGGGGCCCGGGCTCAGGCTGGTCACGGGGGTGAGAGGGGACCCGTCGGGGCGGGGGTGGGGGGAGGGGTGGGAGAGGGTCTCGGACCCCGCGCAAGCGCAGGCCTTGACCGTCGGTGTCTCGCTCTCTCCCCGGCAGGGAGGCTGCCGGCGTGGACCGCGGGAAGGCGGGGCTGGGGCTCGGCGGGAGGCCTCCCCCGCCGCCGCCCCGGGATGAGCGCGCCCAGCAGCTGCTGGACGCCGTGGAGCAGCGGCAGCGGCAGCTCCTGGATACCATTGCCGCCTGTGAGGAGATGTTGCGGCAGCTGGGCCGCCGGCGGCCTGAGCCGGCTGGTGGCGGGGTCAGTGCCCACTCCGGGCTGGGCTGGGGGTGGTGGTGAAGAGTGTCTGCCCACTGGCTAGGCCGGCCAAGAAGCCCTTGCTTCCCAGGGAGAGGGGGTGGAAAAGCGCCCCGCCGCTTGCTTTACCTTTAACCTCCTGTGATCTGGGCGAGAGGTTTTGAAAAAAGTTATCTAAATGCTAGAGGCTACATCCTTGCAGGCCCTAATCCAAGGCCCTTCCTCCCTGGCTTACTTTTCTCCTTTCTGTTCCCACTAGAACGTCTCAGCTAAACCCGGAGCGCCCCCCCAGCCAGTTGCCGCTGCCAGAGGTGGCTTTCCAAAGGATGCTGGCGATGGAGCTGCGGAGCCTTGACCATCCCCCTAGCTGGGCATCCTAACTTCTCTCCCTCCCCAGGGCTGGTGGCTGGACTCTGAATAACTCCCTTCAGGAAAAAGGGGCTAGTCTTCACTGGCAGTGGCGGTACTTGGCCGTTAGCCTGGGATGGCAGCTCTGTTGGCAGTTGGGTTCACTCCCACTTCATCCTGGCTGAAGGCAGTGCTGTGCTTTGAAATGTAGCCCATGATTTCCCAGTCTGATTACTCGGATTTGGGCAGACCAGTAGTGCTGGCCAGAGTGGTCTGGTCTGGCCTGCTTTGGGGGTTCCAGGTGGTATTACATGTTCATTTCATGCTTTGGGAGCTCTAAGCCCCCTTAAACACCTTCAGCAGAGCCTTGATTAAAAGGAAACCTGCAGACTCTCCTGGTGACGGGCCTTTCCTTTCTGTCCCCTCTCCAAGACTGATGGCTGGGGAGGGGGGATGGAAAAAGGTCAGCCATGGGCAGGAATGGGAAGTAATGCCACAGATACTACTAGATTTAAATAAGCATTTAATTAAGATTTCATTAGTATTTAATATTGCTTTTTCAATTCCAAAAAGTTAAATTTTCACTTAGCAGATATTTTAAAGTACAATATTAAGTTTATACAAAATGAGCAATTAAGCAAACACCATTATTTCACATTCTTCAAAAATACAAATTTGTATTTATTCTTTTGGGTTTGGAGGTTTCTTCCTTTGGAAGTACTGAACATGTAACGTTTTCATATCGCTCAGTGGAAGTTTATTGTTCCCATGTTTTACACTTAAAATAAATTTGATGAGACTTTTACATAATCCAAATAAAATTATTTGGGACTTAAAAAATTGTCACTAAGACCACTGGCCAATGATTGGTGTGTGTCAAAAGAAAAAAAGGCAATTTTCAGGGGCGCCTGCCTTGCCTGGCAGATCTGACCCAGAGCCACAAAAACCTGTTTCCAGCCACCTTCCCCAAATTGGGTCTAGGGGGGAATTCACAGGAAAAGGGAATAGCCACTTTGAATTCTGACCTCCAACTCCACTTTCTTCTAAACACAATGAAAGATGTAGGTTGTTGGGAGGCCTGAGAACACAGAGGAAAGGGGCAAGAGAAGCCTCTGACTTGGCACCACTATCAGGGCAAAGATATTGCAGAAAACACCCTGGGTTTTGGTGGGGAAAAGTTTTATGAAAAAAACTCCCGTAAGAAAAAGTTGAAACTGCCTTGAGCGGAGAAAGGGACATGCCATTTATCATCCTTTTGGCGCAGTGGACATACCATCAAAAGGGCAATGTATGATCTTAAACTTCACTTCCAGTAAAAGAAAAAAGCAAGAAAGGAAAAAAAAAAAAAAACAACCTTGTACTATGTACAATGTGACATAAAAATCCAGTTTAATTTGCATTTTTCAGTGCAGACTCAAGCCCTCTCTTGAGTGTAACAGAATTGCTCAAACAATGCCCATCAATTTCCCTTAATGGCATGAAAAGAAACAAGGGACTCTTCTCCCTTCCCCCCAGCCCCCAAGGGTATGCAAGAATAAATGCCTGGGTATGCCAGGCACCAGTGGCTCACACCTGTAACCCTAAGCTATTCTGGAGGCTGAGATCTGAGGATCACAGTTTGAAGCCACCCCAGGCAGGAAAGTCCATGAGACTCTTACCCCAATTGACTACCAAAAGGCCAGAAGTGGAGCTGAGGCTCAAGTAGTAGAGCGCTAGCCTTGAGTAAAAAAGCTCAGGGACAGCACTTAGGCCCTGAGTTCAAGCCCCAAGTCAGCCACAGAAAAGAAAAAAAACAACAAAATAGAACAAACAGATGGTCCAATCAGAAATATGCACTATTCGGTTTTGTTGTTAACCTCCTTTCCCCAAATGTTAAGGAATGAACAATTTTCCTTCCATCTGTCACAGCAGAATCACGTGCAAATTGTATCCATGAATCTTTCTGCTTTGAAGTATTCTTAAAACATCTGTAGTCTATAGCCTGAGAATTGAAGATGAAACAAGAACAGGTGGGGGAAAGGAAGAAAGTTGATCAAGTAGATTATTAATACCTTTGTTTACTGGATTTTATGAAGGCTGGAAGCCTTTTTATGAACCATCACAGGTAGGACAAGGAAGCATATAGAAATGGCTCAAACTAACCCCTCCCCCATCCCCTAACATATTTCTGATTGGTGTTATTTAAAAAATTGTAAACTCTTGAGCAGTTTTGGTGCAATCCCATAAATCAATGGTTTCAGTGATGCTGGAGAAGTCTTTTAAGATCCAGCTGAATGGATGTAATTATAAATATGGCAGTCTAGGAGGTGCCAGGTGTCTTACCGAGGAACAATCTGTCTTTCAGCCATCACTTTGTAATGGTGAAGTGGGGAAAGATGGCAATAGACCAAGAAGTGGTGAAAAGGGCCTCAACAGTCAGCAGAAAAAAATGCCCACAGCAGTTCTCTGGAGAGCCTGAGGGGGGCGCCCAGGGCACGCAGGGAAGGCTTGCATAGATTGAGCTGAGAATGCATAACAGTGGTTCCCTCTGTACAGCCTCACAGCACAAGGGCCAATTGAGTGGAAAAAACACGGAAAAACACGGACAGGCCAGGGCCACATGGGACGACTGTCAAGCTACACATATTGCACCAAAACAAGTGCTTTTCTTTTCACACCTCAATTTAACTTTTTATTCTGAGCAAAAAATAAAACTTTGTGGAAAGTATATATATGTATGTATGTATGTATGTATGTATATATGAGTATATATACACACACACAACAGAAATTGCAGCAATTGGGTTAAAGATAAAATAACCTAAAGTGCGTTTTAATTTTATTATTTCTTTAACATACCAATATGAGGTTCTGCAAACATCCCTCTGGACACATTCAGCATTATACAAAGTCTCAGGAAAACCCATCTACCCTCCATTATCCCCACCAGTCTGCTGCCTTGACCCTGAAATGATCACTTTCCATCCATTGACCCTCCTGGAAGCGGTGAGGAGAAAGTTGCCCCTTCCTGTCTTCCCCAGAGAGGTCTTCCCATCTTAAAGCCTTTCATGACACTACTGTCACCAAATTAGTGGTGCTTCCAAGACTGGCCAGACTCTGCCAGGAAAGATTGACCATTTTTACCTCAACGCTCTGTCTGAGGAGGGCCAAATTCACCAAGGAGTATGGGGGTGCTAGATAGTCTCTTTACCACCTGTCCCCAAACCATCACCTTCTGACGGGAGAGTCCAGCTGAGATGCTAGGGGGAGCTTGTGTAAATCTGGTGGGGGAGGGAGGGCGCCGGGAGGAGGAGGATGGACAATTGCTGAGGTTACCATGGGAAGATGGTAGAGTCCACTTGCTAGCACTCTTTTTTATTCTAACCTCATACTCCAGGTTCACTCCCAGGATGAGGAAAGCACATTCTCCATCAAAGTTCTTTCTGGCTCCAACATAACCAGGGGCCCTTCCTTCTCTAAGGTCCCTAGTACTAGAGGCTGGACTTGTAGAAGGAAAATGGGAGGGAAGAAGTGCTGGCATGGTTGTGGAAGGAAAGTCTGCCTACCCTGTGAAATTTACCTGCTCTGCACCACCACTCACTGACATGTGAAGCACATTTCTGATTTTCCCAAAGTGGATGGAATCAGCTAAGCCTCTCTTGTAAAATCTAAAATGACCCACAAAAGGCAGATACTTCAAGTAGAAAAGTCTGTCAGCATAAATACTGCTTAAGATGCTTCTCCACCCCAAGTCTGTAGAGCAGGAAAAGCCACTTGTATGGACAGGGGCCAATGCCCTAGCTAACCAGGAAGAAACAGTATCTGAACTTGCACATGTCCTTCTCTGGGCTCAGAATCCAAGGTGATCTAAGGATGGGTACATGGGAAGGTCATGACTACCCTCTAATACAAGCTCACTTTAGGGTCCCATCCACTTGCTCTCTCAGAGGTTATACAGAAAACATCAAGGGCCTAAGCTCAAAAATTCTTATAGGAGCCTGGCCTGGCCAAGTGAGCCCGGACAATTCATGCCCAGTACTGGTTTTCTCAGGAGGACTAAGCCATTGTGGTAACAGAAGATTCTTTTTGCCTTATCAACTTCTGCTGAGGCCAATGGATGCCAAGACCATCAGCCTTTTGCAGGAGGGGAGTACAGGTCAAAAAGAAATCAACTCTGGCCAGACTCTGGGCATGAGAATCAGCTACTTGTTCTGAGGTTTTACTTCTCATACAGTAACTGTGCTGCCACCACCCATCCAAGTTTATTCCTGAAACCCAGGCTAAAGGCTGTATCTCTGGCTTCAAGGTTAGTCTTGAAGTCTCAGTGGGCCTGAGTAATGGCTCAGAGAGCAGGAGAATGACCAATACAGATCTCACTGCCTTATGTGAGGACCCTGCTCCTTGCTGGAAGCAGGGAAAGGATCCCTGGGAGACAGATGCTAATTCTACACCTTGGGCCACAAATGGTGTCTGAGCTTGGTGAGCACTCATGACTACATTAGGTAGCCAAAAGAGAGCAACTTTCCATTCTCATGTGGACTGTATTTTATCTTTTATTTTAAGAGACAATGACCTGGAGTCAAAGGCAGACAGATGGATACAATTCTATACACAAATCAAAAAGGTTTTTTTTCCCCTATAGCACAACTTAATGAAAAGTTCCAAATGAGATAACTTATTGCAACATTTCAGGCTTTTTGGTGGAAGGGGACTTTTTTTTTTTTTTTTTTTACCCTGAGTAGATCATTGTTTGTAGGTTTTTTGTTTTGTTTTTTTGTTTTTTGTTTTTTTTTCATCTTTTTGCTTAGAAATCACATGACTAAGCTGAGCAAGTCACACCCTTCTTTGCACTGTACTACGCTTATGCAAAATCGCAGAGGTGAGAGGTGGAGATGGTAGGGAGCAACAAAAAGCCTGGTTAGAGAACCTGGAACCATAAGACCTGCCTGCCAATCACCTGCCAATTCTTTCACACTTCCTTCAAACTGCAACTTCCCCTGAGAAAGCAAGATGCAGCTCTTCTTCTCTGAGGAGGAACACACTGTTGAAGCAGACCCCTAGTTAGTAACTGGCCACAAGCCATGTTTTCACTCAGACAAAGCAGGGGTGTTTGCCAGGAAAAATGCTGTGTGACCCACAAGCCCTTGGCAAGCAACTGAGAGACACAAAGAACCAGGAAGGCAAAGACTGAGGTGGTGCTGCTAGAGCCTGCTCTGCACACACATCATCAACAAATAGCAGTTGAAAGCTTGCCTATAGTCCTGGCACAACCGTCACTCACAGCCATGGGCCAGGCTTGAAGTCACCCATCTGTGCTGAGCCAGCTACAAGATGACCTCTGCAGCATCAACTTGGAATTCCACCAATGTCAAGTGCAAACAACAAAACCATCTCAGCCAACTCACAGCTGTCTCACCTGCCCTGCTATTGCTCACTATGATGCAAAGGTTGGACTTTCCAGACAAATTTTAGCCTCAGAGTCAAAGACATATGGGGAAGAGCAATGCCCAACATAGCGAACTTTCTTCTGCCCAATCCAAAAAACCCCCAGTGCAAAGGATGGGCAGTACCAGAGTGATGGAAACCACATCCTTTCATTTAGTATTTTTATGCACACAAGTAACCTTAATTTCCAAGTTCACATAACAATAAGCAAAAGTGACATACAGTGCAGCCAAACAGTTCACTTATAACTTAGCTTTTTTTTTTTCTCCTCCAAAAGATCAGGTCAGTAAAATGGGTACTCCTGGGATGTGAATAAAGAAAATATGTCTGAAAGGTGAGGCTTTCAAACAGCAGACTTCTTCATCCTTCCAATTTCTGACCCCATGATAGCAGGCATCACGCTTCATGCTTCCTGTTCCCCCTTTTCCTGGAAGTGAGCATGACAGGCCCTTCCCCTGGAGAAGCTGCTGGCCAGGCCCATCTCCTCCACCCCCTACAGTAGTGCTTCAATGCAAATCAGATTGGACGGGTGTCCAGGTTCTGGAAGGACAGGAACTCTGACACATCCATGGCACTTAACATTTCTGTGTGAGGGATGGAAGGAGCCTCAGCCTGTTGGCTTTGCTCAATGGAAAAGGGTCCCATGGAGATGGATGATGAAGGGGGAAGGGGCTGGAAAAGTCTAGGGTGGTAGTTGCAGGCTGGGCCCATCAGGAGGCTGGGAGTTCGGCTCTGGAGGGGGTGGGGAAGAACAGCCCTTTCTCCGACCAGATGCCCGCTCCTTCGCAGAGTCCCGGCATGCACACTGACACTGACATGCCTCCTCTTGTTTGATGATGATCACAGGAACACTGAGGCCAAACTGTTGAACAGAGCTCCCTGCGAGAGAGGTGAGACAGACTGCTCTTCAAGTTGCCATGACTAGATGCAGGCACACACAGACTAGGAAAGGGCTGAGTGCCATGGAGGCAGAAATGGTAAGCAGGATGGGTATCAGGCTCCAGGCCTTGTTCTTGCTTTAAACAGGACTAGGGAAAGCCTCAGACACTCTCCATCCCTCAATACAAAGCCCTCTTTCCCTACAGAAACACATAACAATCCAGATGTACCCCATCCTTCTCAGCTGTTACCTCCCTGCCAGACACGGCAGACACCTCCCTTCTCTTGACACTTTCATACCTCTTGGGCCCTTCTCTTTGCCTAAACCTATCTAATAGACAGTGTTTTCTTCTGGGCAACTTCCACTCACCTTCCATGACTCAGAGCTGACATCCTTCATACCCCTTCTCCCAGGCAGAATTTCCTATGGGCTATGCAGAGGGTAGGCCATGAGAAGCCAACACGGAGCTGTCTGGCACACATGTACAATGCTGTTGCCTTCCTTCTGCACTTCTCCCACACTGATCAGGACCAGTTTAGACTTCAAGCTCCTTAGTACTTCAAGCTTCTCAGTGTGATACATGGTAAGTGTCAGCCAATCTCTTCTTATACAGCTAACCTAGCTTGTGCAGCTTTGTGGTTGGTTCATGTAATTCAACAGAGCTATGGACCAATGAACTCAACAGGATGGTAAGGAGGCCTGAGATCTAGTGCTCTGGTGCTCACAAATGTTTACTTATGACCTTGGGGAGTCATTTAACCTTTTTTGGGTCCAAGATAAATCAATTGATCCATCCACTCATCCATTCATCTCTCAATCCATCCATTCATCCATCTATCCATGAGACCAATTATCACTGAATAGTCTGGCCTGCAACCCTAGAGCTGAACTCTTGATCCTCCTGCTTCAGCTTCCTAAGGGCTGGGATCTTGGGTATGTATTACTATACTCAGCTCTAGGTCCTAGTTTCTTAATATATAAAAGAAAAAGTTCAAAATAAAAATGCCTTCCAGCTATGCATGAGTTTCTGACCTAGATATTGTTTCTTCCTTACTGTAATTAGAAAAGAGTCTAGTCAATTAACAACTGCCCTCTTTAGCATTAACTGTGAATCAAACTTTCTTCTGGCTGCATATAAAAGCTGTATCTGAAAGGCAAAGAACTGTCACTAGGTTAAAAAAAAAAAAGGAAAGAAAAATGGCATCTGCACCAGAAGCCATTACTATAATAAATGATACAATTTAAGTCTGAGAATGGGCAAAGCTTTATAAAACTTCAAAGCTGAGGCAAAGAAATAATTTACTATATCTCAAGGGGCCCAAGAAAATTAACTTGAATTTAAAATTAACATAAAATTACATACCTGTGCTACTGGCTACTGGTACTGCGGTGGTAAAATACACCTGTTCAACTTTAGATGCTTGTTGCTGGAGGAAAAAAAAAGTCACACTTATAGCCACTCCAATATGGAAGACATCCAGAGACCTGAAACCGCCAATTGTAATGGTCATCCAAGAGGATAGAAAACCCCTAGTGTTCGGGGTTTTTGCACTGAGTGATGTTTTGTTTGTGCTCTGCCATGAGGTCACTGCACTATTTGACATTCTGTGCTGACAATGTTCCTAGCTTTGTACCCCAGTACTTGGCTGTCTCCCAGCTGTCTAATTCAGTGGGCTATGTGTCCGAAGACTCCTCCAAGATTGCTTTCTTAAGCTGATGGTTTCCATAGAGGGAGCCCAGGGCTGGCTTTCCCTTGAGGCTGTCACCCCCATGCCATTCTGTTGTGAAAGTAGAAATTTCTTTCTTCCTCTTAGCCTGCACACTAAGAACAGGCTAAGGCTGCTTCTCACAGGTAGTGTGCCCTAGGCAGTGCTGTCAGGGCTGAAAGGGATAGTTCTAGAATGAGCCTGGACTCAGCTACACCTGATTCAAGCCCAAGATCTGTCAATTTCTTTGTTTTTGTTTGTTCGTTTTTTGGGGGGCTGGTCATAGGGCCTGAACTCTGGGCCTGGGCGCTGTCCCTCAGCTCTTCAGCTCAAGGCTAGCGCTCTACCACTTGAGCCACAGCGCCACTTCCGGCTTTTTTCTTTTTCCTTATGTGGTGCTGAGGAATCGAACCCAGGGCCTCTGGCATGTAAGGCATGCGCTCTACCACTGAGCTACCTTCCCAGCCCCAGATCTGTCAATTTCTTAAGAGTCGCAATTTCTTGTAAAAGTTGGAATGTTAACCAAAAATCTTTTCAAAAGACTCATGAAAAATGTCCAGTAAATATCAGTGATATATATATATATATATATGCATATATATATATATATATATAATTTATTTATTTATTTTTTGGCAGTCATGGAGCTTGAACTCTGGGCTTGAATGCTGTCCCTGCACTCTTCAGTGCAAGGCGAACACATTACCACTTGAGCCACAGTGCCACTTCCAGTTCTCTAGTGATTTATTGGAGACAAGAGTCTCATAGGCTTTCCTGCCCGGGCTGGCTCTGAACCGTGATCCTCAGATCTCAGCCTCCTGAGTAGCTAGGATTCCAGGCATGAGCCACTGACACCCAGCTGATTTGTATTGTTATTAAGGAGCAATATAAAATTGTGGCTATATCACATTTATCACTCTAGTACACTTCCTATTAAGTTGACTAACAGATTTCTGCTTTCTTTAAGTCATATTTTAAAAGGGCTTTTTTTCTTAGCCCTAGAAAGCAGTGTTCAAGCTGACTCTGGGAAGAAGTGAAGGCACCTAGCTAAAATAATAATAGATCTTGAGACAAAATAAGTAAAATAAATAAATAAAAATAAAAAATGCTGGGCACTGGTGGCACATGCCTGTAATCCTAGCTACTCAGGAGGTTGAGATCTGAGGATCGCAGTTCGAACCCAGCCCTGGCAGGAAAGTCTGTGAGACTCTTATCTCCAATAAATTACTCAGAACAAGCTGAAAGTGGTACTGTGGCTCAAGTGGTACAGTGCTAGCTTTGAGCACAAAGAGGCTTGGGGACAGCACCCAGGCCCTGAGTTCAAGCCCCAGAACTGACAAAAATAAAAATAAAATAAAATGATGGAGACTTGAGCCCTGGTGTTTGTTTGTTTTGTGCTGGTTCTGGGGCTTGAACTCAAGGCTAAGCACTGTCCCTTAGTTTTTTTCATTAAATGCTAGTGCTCTACCACTTGAATCACATCTCCACTTCTCACTTTTTGGAGGTTAACTGGAGGTAAGAGTCTAACTGACTTTTCTGCAGGGGTTGATTTCCAACCATGATTCTCAGATCTCAGCTTTCTGAGTAGCTAGGATTACATGCATAAGCCATTGGTGCTAGCTATTTTTATTGTTGTTTTATTTTTGAAACAGTATTTGACGCTTGATTCTCCTGTCTCTGTCATACGAGTACTGGGAGTATAGGTGTACGCTACCACACCTGGCTGAATCCCATTTTTAAATACACAAAAATGAATTACATGGAAAAAGAATGACACTTGCTTTATGTACCTTCCCAGTGTTAGGCCCAGAAAAACAATAAACACCACAGCCACATGGAAGCAGTTTGTCACACACTGGACAGACCTTCTCAATGATCCTGGCCACTGATATGGAAATGGGCTGCCATTTCTGGAATTTGAGTACTCTATTTAATCCTATTTTTCCAGCTTGTTTACATCCATCCACAAATTTTCCTCCCTAATACCTCTTTTTCTTCATCTAATTCTACCCAAATCTCAAGACTCCACCCAGAAAGTCCCTTAGCGTCTGAACACTTCAATTGGCAGGACGATCAAATAACTAAGAGCCCAGACCCTGATGCAGTTTGTTTTTGCTTGAGTCCTAGCTTTTTTTTATTTATTTATTTATTTTTTTTGTTCCGGTTGTGGGGCCTGAACTCTGGGCCTGGGCACTGTCCCTCAGCTCTTCAGCTCAAGTCTAGCGCTCTACCACTTGAGCCATAGCGCCACTTCCAGCTTTTTTTTTTTTTTTTGCTTTTTGCTTATGTGGTGCTGGGGAATCGAACCCAGGGCCTCAGGCATGCAAGGCAAGCACTCTACCACTGAACCACCTTCCCAGCCCCCTAGCTTTGTCTGGTGTAAATTACCTGTTGTAATGTGTTAAAAAGTACTTAACGGCTGGCTGAGTGGCTCAAGTGGTAGAACACCTGCCTAGTGAGTATGAGTTTAAACCTGAGTATCACCCCCCCCCAAAAAAAAGCACTTAAAAGCTGGAGATGTAGTTTCAATGGTACAGTACTCTCCTAGCATTCAGAGTCCTGCTCTGAACCCCAAAGGGAGGTGGGAGGGAACTGCTTAGTTAATGGAATGTATGGCACACAAATAGAGACATAGAGACAGTAAAAAGATTAGTGGTTGCTAAGAATGAGGAGAAAGGGAGAGGGCTGCATATGTGAAGCACAGGATAGAACTATTCTGGACACAAACATTATGCATTTCTGAAATCCAACAGAATGTACAGCACAAAGAAAAGACAGACCCTTCTAGGTCAGCCTGAGCTAGAGAGTAAGACCATGTCTCAAAAAATAAACAAAATGAACCTTAATGTAAATTATGGACTTTAATTAATAATAATAATATATTAATTTTGGCTTATCTGATGCAGAATATTAATAATCTGGGAGGGCTAGGAATGTAACTCAGTGGTGGAGCATGTTTTACGTGCTGGACTCTATCCTAAGCATCTAAGTAAAAAAATCTAAAAATTACAAAATTTACATCTACCCACAAATTTAAAAAATGTATATAAAGTAATGACTGGGGGCTGGGAAGTTGGCTCAGTGGTAGAGTGCTTGCCTCGCATGCATAAGGTCCTGGGTTCGATTCCTCAGCACCACATAAGCAGAAAAAAGCCGGAAGTGGCGCTGTGCTCAAGTGGTAAGGCACTAGCCTTGAGCTGAAGAGCTGAGGGATATCACCCAACCCCAGAGTTCGGCCCCCACGACCAACAAAAAATAAAATAATGACTGGCATATGTTAGATCCTCAGTTTAAAAATTTGCCTAGAGCCAAGCACCAGTAGCTCACACCTGTAATCCTAGCTACTCAGGAGAATGAGATCTGAGGACTGCAGTTTGAAGCAGCCCAGGCAGGAAAGTTCGCGAGACTCTTAACTCAGAAAACTAGAAGTGGCACTGCAGCTCAAGTGATCAAAGCCCAGGCCCAGAGTTCAAGCCCCATGACTGACAAAATAAATAAATAAATAAATAGCCTAGTAGCATATGGTAGCATATGCCTGTAAGTTCCTCAGAAGGCTGAGGTAAGATAACTTGAATCCAGAAGTTGAAACCAGACTATACAACACAACTGGAGACTGTCTTTGGGTGACACACAGAGAGAGACAGACAAACAGATAGAGAGAGTGCAAGGTGGTACATGCCTATAATTTAATTTAAGGCCAGCTTGGGCCACATAGTAAATCTCAAAAAGAGAAAAAAATTTACACTTTTTCCTACTTTTAGGCATGTTAGCCTCTTTAACCTGAATGCCTGAATGCCTTGATGGAAAAAAAAAACAAACCCAAACACACATTTTTCACTTTTATCATTCAATTACCCAGTGTGGAGTCTGGTGAAGGGTGGGGCATTTCTAGAATCATCCTTAGAAAATGATTCTAGGGGAGCAGAGGCGTGGCTCAGTGGTATTACATCCCCAATACATGGAGATTAAAAAAAGAAGATTCTATGGTGGGTTCCAGAAGCAGAGTACTTCTCTGACTTGGCCACCACTGTCTGATTCTGTCTCAATGGGTCTCATCAGGCCCTCATGTAGGCTGACTCTGATACGGGGATGAACGCTGTTTTGAAGTATCTTGGATGGACCTCTGAAGCTTTGACGCTTCCCTGTACTAGGTGATGTGATAACCCCACAGATAAGAATAGGCTTTCAAGTGCCTCTACTGTGAGGTAAAAAAGTAAAGGGGTTTTCCTGTCTCCTTATCAGAGGATTATAGTTTTCCTTGATTTTTTGTTTGTTTGTTTATTTTTGCTGGTCATGGGGCCTGAAATCTGGGCCTGGGTACTGTCCCTCAGATTTTCAGCTCAAGGCTAGCGCTCTACCACTTGAGCTACAGCGCCACTTCCGGTTTTCTGGTGGTTTATTGGAGATAGGAGTCTCACGGTCTCTCCTGCCCGCACTTTGAACCGCGATCCTCAGATCTCAGCCTCCTGAGTAGCTAGGATTACAGGCGTGAGCCACCAGCGCCCGGCTTCCCCTTGGTTTTTTTTAAATCACTTAATTATAGCAAAAATGACTCCATGGGAAAATTACATGTTTCTGGGTAAATAAGCTAGCCATTCTCCCATTTCCAATAAAGGACATGTCACCTGTGTAAGTACCCCTCTCCCTACTGGGTATGCATATAGTAATACTTACAATTTGTTCTTGGTTTTGTGGTGAACTAGTTGCACCATTTAATATCCATTGTAAATTCTGCTCTCTCATGACTAGGCTGGGCTGCAGAATGGCCGCGCTGGAATTCGGGGCGATGGTTATGGTGGTATTATTAGTTAAGACAGAGTTGGCACCCAGGGGCAGAGTCTGGACCATGGCTGGCAGGGGCTCAGTAGTACTTTGTGGGGGGGCTGGTGTTGCCACAGCTGATGCCACTGCTGCCGATGCAGAAGCCCCAGCAACAACAGAAAGTCCCGGTACGATGGGCTGGGGGGCCTGGGGGTGCGGAAGAAACTCCTGATGATTAGCAGCAAACTGTGTGCTGTGGGAAACAGGCACTTCTGGAGGTTGTAAGAGAGCAGGGGGGTTGCCAAATGCAGCTTTCTGAGAACCGGGTCCTAGGGAGGGAGCAGGCGGAGGAGCAGATGGAGCTGAGGCTGGTAGATGAGGCTGAGGTGGCTTGGAGATGCCAGGCTGCAGTATAAGCGGGAGAGATAAAGATGCTGAATTTCCTGCAGGTGGCGGAACATCACTGACTGACTCTGCATCACCATTAAAACTTTCAATCAAGGCAGCTGGCGAGAAAAAGAAATAGAAACATATATACATATCCCAAGCCTCATAGGACCCACAAAAACAGTTATGGGCTGAACAAAAGAGCTGAAATCGTTACAAGCTGTTTCCTTCTCTGCTAGCAGGCTGGCTTTCTGCTTTCATTTAGTGACACCTCTGGTCAAAGTAGTAGGCTTCATGATCAACAGTGTTCCTATGTACCATGGCTTGCCAAAGACCAAGCCATAAAAACAATGTGTCCTACAGTTTTCCTGAAAAGAGATGAGGCATCCTTTCTTTGGCGTGACTGGTGAATAACTGACTACTGTAAAGCTTTACTGACAGATTTCCACTCAAATGCAGGAGAGATAAACATCTGAAGCCTGGTTTGTGTGGCACCCACTTCTGAACAGTGTATCCTATCAGAATGAAATGTTCACAGCTCCTTCCATTTTTGAAAGCCAATGAGATTCTGGAAAAACAGACCCTCTGCTTCAGGAGCTAAGGAACTGAATGGAAAGGTCTGTACTTTTCTCACCTTCCATGGAAGCTCTTCCTTTAAGCTAATTGAAATATCTCACTGTGTCAGTCATTCAGTGTATTCATAAATGTGAACTCCCTGCCCAGGGCTGGACAGGAAGAAGAAGAGAGTTTGTAACAAACCTGTCTGCAGAGGATCTTCCTGAATTGCTGTATCATCTGAATTCTGAAACATTGATTCAAAGATGATTGCTGGTGAAATTGTGCTGAGGTCCTGGTCCTGGGTCTGATGGAGAAAGATAAAAGATGTGAGACCACCATTCTGAGAAAGTTCTTCATTACTGGAGAACTAGAATGAACTTCTGAATACACTTCCTGTTTCTGCCTTCATGTATTTCAAAGTGACATCTATTTCCCCAAAGCTTAGATATACTAAAAATCTGGCTACTGAGGAATTAGCTGCTCAGGAGTTGCCTTGCAGGTTGAGCAAATAAAATTTTTTAATAAAGTTTATAAATAAAATAAAAAGTAAAATTTTGTAAATAAAGTTTATTTGAACAAAAACACAGTTACATGTTATTTACATTATGATGATTTATCAACTGTGCATTTAAGACCCATGCTCCGTTCTGCATGCACACTGTACTGTAATAAAAAAGGTTTGTGTATGTGTGTGTGGTACTAGGGGACAAATTAAGGGACTTGTACATATATTATCACTTGTATCACACTCCCAACCCTTTTGTTTGCAGTACTGGGAATAACTCAGAGCTTACACTCTACCACTTGAGCCATACTTCTAGCTCCTTTTTTCATTGGGTATGTTTTTGTTTTGTATGTGTGAGGTGGTAAGCAGGGCTTGAATTCAGGGCCTTGCATATCATTTGGCTTTTTTTCCATCAGGGCTGGTGCTCTACCATTTGAGCCATGCCTCCAGTTCTGCATTATTTTTGAGGTAGGGTCTTATTTTATGCCCAGGCCAGTCTACATTGCAATCCTCTTATGTCACTGGATGCATACCACCTCATCCAGCCACTGATTGAGATGGAACCTCTTTTTGCCTAGGCTAGTTTCAAATCACAATCTCCTGTTTCCACCTTCCAAATATAACTAGAATTATAGTCCTGAGCCATTTCACCTAGCTCAATTTTGTTTTTGTGATAGGCTCTCACTAATTTTGGCTCCAAAAATCTCGATCCTCCTGCCTTTACCTTTTGGGCAACTGAGATGATAGGTGTGTTGTGTTTTTTGAGACAAGGTCACACTATGGTAGCCCAGTCTGGCCTGGAACTTACTCTCTTGCCTCAGTCTCCTGAGTGTTTCAGTCACAGGTATGCACTACCACACCTGGATGAAAAGTTGTTGTTTTTTTATAACCTTTTTTTTTTTTTCCGTCCGGTCGTGGGGCCTGAACTCTGGGCCTGGGCGCTGTCCCTCAGCTCTTCAGCTCAAGGCTAGCACTCTACCACTTGAGCCACAGTGCCACTTCCAGCTTTTTTCTTATGTGGTGCTGAGGAATCGAACAGGGCCTCTGGCATGCAAGGCAAGCGCTCTACCACTGAGCTACCTTCCCAGCCCCTGAAAAGTTTTTTTTTTTTTTTTGGGTCCGGTCGCGGGGCCTGAACTCTAGGTCTGGGCGCTGTCCCTCAGCTCTTCAGCTCAGAGCTAGCGCTCTACCACATGAGCCACAGCACCACTTCCGGCTTTTTTCTTTTTGCTTATGTGGTGCTGAGGAATCGAACCCAGGGCCTCATGCATGCAAGGCAAGCGCTCTACCACTGAGCCACCTTCCCAGCCCCCCTGAAAAGTTTTTTTAATAAAATAAAATAAATAGGCAAGCGGTAAACCACTGCCAGGCTTCCAGACAAAATCGCTAGGGGCAGAATGAGTGGGAATGGCTCTAGAGACAGAACAGGCTGAGCCTCTAAGCCTCTGGGTCGTGGAGCAAAGAGGAAAGAGCAGCAAGAACACAGGAGTTGTCTGGGCCCAGGATGATCACGGAGCTCAGCAACTGAAAGACAGCATGGCCACTCCCTAACAACCCCCACCGATCCTTTCACAAAAGGCCTGAACCAACAAAAAGCTCATTCTATATATTTGGAAGCTCAGATACCCATCAAATAATTATCTCATACAAATTTACCAATTGACTTAAATATGTGGCCATTTTTTTAAAAATCTGAAACACAAGTAAGAGGATCAAAACCTGGGACCAGCAAGGGTATAAAATGAGACCAATGCAAAAAAAAAAAAAAAAAAAAAAAAAAAGGGCTAGAGGTAGCTGGAGTTATAGTGTACCAGCCTTGAGTGAAAAAGAAGGGACAGAAATCAGGCCCGGCGTTCAAATCCCAGCTCTGGCATAAAATAAATAAACAAGTGTTAGGCAACAATGAATAATCCCTCCTAAAAGAACTCTTACTAGGAAGAGGAAAAGAAATCCTAAATGATCAGTGACTGAATACAGAGTGACAAATCTGACACTTCAGGCAAGCCTACCTCAATTTTCCCACCTTCACTTCTAATATACTTACTGTACTGGAATTTTCTTGTAATTCAGAATCTGTGGACAGAAGACCCAACTCATTCAAATAAAGTGAGTGATTTGTATCCTGAGAAAGAGAAAAAAAAAATCTTAAGTAGCAAAACCTAGGCTTTTATAGAATCATATTATATAATAAAATACTTGATTACAATGTCCTTAAGGTTGAAATGTCAGGTGACCAGTTGTGGACACTGTCCCTCAGTTCTTCAGCTCAAGGCTAGCGCTCTACCACTTCAGCCACAGCGCCACTTCTGGCTTTTTCTGCTTATGTGGTGCTGAGGAATCGAACCAGGGCCTCATGCATGCAAGGCAAGAATTCTACCACTGAGCCACCTTCCCAGCCCCTGGTCCTAGGGCTTGAACACAGGGTCTGGACATTGTCCCTGAGCCTCTTTGTGCTCAAGGCTAGCACTCTACAACTTGAGCCATAGTGTCACTTTCGGCTTTTTCTTAGTAATTTATTGGAAATAAGAGTCTCATGGACTTTTCTTTCCAGGCTGACTTTGAACTGTGATCCTTAAACCTCAGCCTTTTGAGTAATAGTAGGAGTTTAGATGTGAGCCACTGGTGCCTGCCATTTCTTGTTTTCTTGAGAGGTGGTACTGGGGCTTCAACTCAGGAGTTCACACTTGCTAGGCATCCATTCTACCACTTGAGCCACACCCATACCCCTTTTGTATTTCTTTCTTTTTTAAATAAGGCCTAACGTTTATGCTTGGGCCACACTGGATCCTAAGCCTCCTATGCATGCTTCCTGCATAGTTGGAATGACTGAAAGCCACCATGCCAAGCTTTTTATTGGTTGAGATGGTATCTCTTGAACTTTTTCCCAGATTAGCCTAGTATATGATCCTTCAATCTCTACCTCCTTATTAATTAGCATTAGAGGTGTGAGCTACCACACTTGGAAGCTTCCATTTCTTTATCCAAGGATAGAGAACTTGCTTAGCATGAACAAGGCCTTGGGTTCAATTTCTGGTACCACACACACAAACACAAAAACAAAGAGTAGTTTCTTTATATATAAAATAGTAAGATAATAAAAGAACTCTGGATAGACATAATAGCTCAGGTTTACAATCCTATCTACTCAGGAGGCAGAGCAGGACTGTGGTTCCAGGCCTCTGTGGGCAATAGTTCAAGAGACCCCCATTCAGCCAACAAAAGCTGGGCATGGTACCTCATGTCTATCACCTCAATGACAGAGAAAGCATATGTAGCAGACTTGTAATCTAGCCTGGCCTGGGCATAAATATGAGACTCTATCCAAAATATAACACAAAGAAATATATGTGATTCAAAAGGTAGAATGCCTGTCAAGCAAGAGCAATGTCCTGAGTTCAAACTCCAGTACCAAATAAATATAAACGTCAAAAAAAAAATAGTTCTTGAAGACCACACCTCCACAAAAGTAAATAAATATAAGGTACCACAGTCCTTGGGTATTTACAGGTAAACAGTTCCAAGGAGACCGACTTAAGAAAGCTCCACATGTGCAGGATACAGAGTTCAGTGCTGTTCTGCAGGTGCTTGATTCATGTTTCCCACAATGCCACCTAACCTCTGCTAAAAACCTGCTGCCTTTCAACAAATCTCCAAGCTTCACTTTAAATTAAGCACACAAACTTTTTACCTTGCTTTGGGGGCACCACTTCTTTTGGGGAGGCAGATTTTCACAAGATTGAGGTAGGGAAACAGCTGACCATACATGATGTAAACACAACTGATGCTAACACAGGAGAGTTGCTCTTCAACAACTGAGCTTCATAACACACATATGGTAATTTAAAAAACTTTGGTTTTGAAATTAATTTATTTTTTTGTTGGTGTTGGGGCTTGAATTCAGGGCCTGGGTACTTTCCCTAAACTCAAGGCTAGCACTCTATCAGTTCCAGCCACAGTACCACTTCTGGTTTTCTAGTGGTTAATTAGAGACCCACAGACTTTCCTGCCTGGGCTAGCTTTGAACCATGGTTCTCAGATTTCAGCCTCCTGAGTAGCTGGGATTATAGGAGTAAGCCACTGGCAGCCAGCTTGTTTTTGAAATTTCTTTTGATTTTAAAAAGTGTGCTGGGCCGGGCGCTAGTGGCTCACACCTGTAATCCTAGCTACTCAGGAGGCTGAGATCTGAGGATCGCGGTTCAAAGCCAGCCCGGGCAGGAAAGACCGTGAGACTCCTATCTCCAATAAACCACCAGAAAACCGGAAGTGGCGCTGTAGCTCAAGTGGTAGAGCGCTCGCTTTGAGCTTAAGAGCTGAGGGACAGCGCCTAGGCCCAGAGTTCAAGCCCCACGACCAACAAAAAAAAAAAAAAAAGTGTGCTGGGAAGGTGGCTCAGTGGTAGAGCGCTTGCCTTGCATACATGAGGCCCTGGGTTCGATTCCTCAGCACCACATAAGCAGAAAAAGCCAGAAGTGGTACTGTGGCTCAAGTGGTAGAGCGCTAGCCTTGAGCTGAAGAGCTGAGGGACAGCGCCCAGGCCCAGAGTTCAGGCCCCACGACCGGACCCCCCCCAAAAAAAGTTATAAAAAGTGTATTATTATTATTATTGCCATGTTTGGTCAAACTGTATATGATAAACCCGCAAATAAGGTAAGCTTACTGTTTTCCTTTTCCGAGAATAAAAGACATAAGCCACTGCTTAATACCATGTTCAAGTGATAACAGCAAATTTATCTATCCTGGGTTCTCCCTGGAACAGAGCTGCAGGGGAGCAGAAAATATGGCAGAACAAACAAACTGCCCAAAACTACACAGGGGCTTTGTGGCCCAGTGGCTGTTACTTTATAGGCAGAAATGGGAAAATGAGAGCCATTCTAAGGCCTCTGAGTTCAAGAGCATCTTCTTCCACCACATCTGATGAAAGTAAGAGAGAAGAACTAAGGCAGAGCCTACAGTACAGTGAGTATGGTAACCTTCTTGGTTTCTGCTACCCAATTACAAAGACTCAGATTTTGACCCAGATTTCTTTCCTCTTGCTAACAGACAGAAGATATTTTAACTTTTTTTTGTAAGACACAAACAACTGCTGTTCTGTGGTAGCCAGATCAAAACAAGAGATGAGAACATTGCACACCTCTGATCCATTTTGTTGTGGAAGTGCATTGTAAGAATGTCCTTTGTTATCATGACCTTTCATGTGACTCTTGAGACTGTACTGAGTGCTGAATGTTCTCTCACAGCCGTTACTGGGACAGAAGAAGGGTCTTTCACCTGGCAAGAATGATAAAGTCATGTTAGTAGATTGAGAAATCTACATTTCTATAAGAGAGGGAAGTAAATAATGTCATGAGGACTGGAGAAGCAGTTATTAAATGATGGGATAAGCTGGGCGCCAGTGGCTCACACCTATAATCCTAGCTGCTCATGAGGCTGAGATGCAGGAAGGTGGTTGGAAGCCACCCTGGGCAGGAAAGTCCATGAGACTTTTTTTTTTTTTGGTCAGTTGTGGGTCTTAAACTCTGGGCCTGGGCGCTGTCCCTGTGCTCTTCAGATCAAGGCTAGCACTCTACTACTTGTGCCACAGCACCACTTCCAGTTTTCTGGTGGTTAATTGGCTAGATAAAGAGTCTCATGTCTCATGGATGTTCCTGCCTGGACTGGCTTTGAACTGCAATCCTCAGATCTCAGCCTCCTGAGTAGCTAGGATTACAGGCGTGAGCCACTGGAACCAGGGCCCAGGAGACTCTTATTTCCAATTAACCACCAGAAAAGTGGAAGTGGAGCCATGGCTCAACGTGGCTCAACAAGGAGAGCACTAGCCTTTAGGGAAAAAGTTCAAGGACAGTGCCCAGCCCTCATTTCAAGCCCCAGGACCAACCAAAAGGAAAAAAAAAAAAGCAAACAAGTTGGATAAACTACACTTTAATTATCACAGTTCTAAAACTTAATACAAAGTAAAACACTTGTTCCTTATGATTTATTTCCTGAGTCCCATCTTCAGATCCTTTCAGGTGAAGGCTAAACTGATGAGGTGAAGGCTCACTCTCTCCCTAGTGCTAGGGAAACAGTCAATAATAGGCTGGATAAAGGTCAAAATGAGAGACTCACCAGTGTGTGTACGGACATGAGTTTTAAGATGGTGGCTTGCTGCAAATGCTTTTCCACAGCCATCATGATCACATCTAAAGTGTACATGCAAAGAGAAACAGAACTTGTTAGCCAAGAGACCTTCAACCTTAACATTTGTAAATGCAAGCTAGAGCAAATGTTCCAAATACTAGGAGATAACAAAGTGGGCCTTGAAAAAGAAAGGTGGCTTATCTGGGCTAAGAAACTAAGGTAAGTATTTCTTATCCTATAGGTAAAGTACATGTTGAGACCTCTAATAAAAAAAATCCTTTTTATCTTCACTTAAACAGAACTCTATTATAGACAGTGAAAATTCATATGAAAAATCTCCTGAGAGTGACATATAGCAAATAGGGAGAACTGGGTGATGGTGGCACATGCCTGAGACAGGAGCAGTTTTGAAGTATACAGGGAGCTTGACATACAACGTGAAAACATACTGTACCTAATACATAGCCATGTAACAAAGTAGCCAATGACTAGTGATGTACAGAGGGGTTACAGTTACATTAGTCAGGTTAATGAGTACATTTCTTTTTGAACAGTATCACCTCTTCCCTCTTTTTCTCCAAGTTTTTCCCTTCCCAATCCCCTTCACCCACAAGTTGTATAGTTCCTTTTCAACATAGTCTCTAATGAATATTACTGCTTCATTAGCTCACCCTGTCCAACCATTTCTTTTTTTTTTTTTTTTTTTTGGGTCCGGTCATGGGGCCTGAACTCTGGGCCTGGGCGCTGTCCCTCAGCTCTTCAGCTCAAGGCTAGCGCTCTACCACTTGAGCCACAGCGCCACTTCCAGCTTTTTTCTTTTTGCTTATGTGGTGCTGAGGAATCAAACCCAGGGCCTCTGGCATGCAAGGCATGCGGCTCTACCACTGAGCCACCTTCCCAGCCTGTCCAACCATTTCTGTATTCCCTCTTACCCACCCCAAAACAGATAAACTTATATACAAAACAAAAAGTACAGAAGTCAAAAACAGAGACAAAGGGAAAACAAAAACAAAAACAAACATACACAAAAAGTAAACTAACCAAAAAACCCTTGTTTCCATTTCTTGGAGTTCATTTTGATAAATATCATTTTATAGGATCATAGGCACATAGCTATTGAGTCTTTGTGATCCTCCCCTAAGAATATGCTCCCTTTGGTCTCACTGTGTGAATGTTTAGAGTCCTGTTTGATTTTTCATGCCCAATTATAATTTTTTGTCTTTTATCATCCATTGTGTTTACTTGTAGATTTATAGATACATTCTATTTACTAGAAACGAGAAACCATGCAACCTATGCTTCTTTGGGTCTGGCTTACTTCACTTAATATAATTTTTTTCTAAGACTCTCCATGTTCTTGCAAGGCATGTACTCTACCACTGAGCTACCTTCCCAGCCCCAACTCTCCATGTTCTTACAAATAGGACAATACTATTCTTTTTGATGGAAACATAGAATTCTATTGCGTATATATATGACCTTTTCTTGATCCATTCATCCACTGAGAGACATTTGGGTTGATTCTATATCTTGGCTATTGTAAACAATGCTGCAATGAGCATGATTGTTGCTCATAGCTTTAGTGTGGCCTGGTTTGGGGTTAATTGGATAAATGCCCAGGAGGGGAATTGCTAGGTCATAGGGATGCTCTATGGTTAGTCTTTTGAGGAACCTCCATACTGCTTTCCAGAATGGTTGAACAAGTTTACATTCCTACCAACAGTGTAGGAGTGTTCTCTTTCGGTCACATCCCTGCCAGCATCTGTTATTGTTGGTTTTCTTGATAATAGTCATTCTAACTGTAGAATCTCAATGTTGTTTTGATTTGCTTTCTTTTATGGCCAAAGATGATGAACATTTTTTTCATGTGTCTACTTTCCAACCTTGCTTCTTATTCTGAGAAGTCTCTCTTAAATTTTTAGCCCTTTATTAATTTTGAGGGTTTGTGAAAATGGCAATACTGCCCAAAGCTATCTACAAATTCAATACAATACTCATCAAAATCCCAACAACATACTTCAATGATATAGAGGAAGCAATTCAAAAATTCATATGGAATAATAGAAGACCCTATATAGCAAAAACAATCCTTAGCAGGAAGAACAGTGCTGGAGAAACATCAATACCAAACTTCAAACTCTATTTCAAAGCCATAGTAATAAAAACAGCTTCGTATTGGCACAAGAACAGACCTGAGCAGCAATGGAATAGAATAGAAGACCCAGAAATGACCCACAGACCTATAACCACCTAATATTCCATAAGGAAGCCAAAAACACTGGATGAAAGAAAGATAGCCTCTTCAACAAATGGTGCAGCACTGGCTATACACATGCAGAAATCCAAAGCTAGATCCTTATATATCACCCCGTATCTGAATCAATTCCAAATGGATCAAAGACCTCAATGTAAGGCTAGATACCCTGAAAATATTATAGGAAAGAATAGGGGAAACACTAGGACTCCTAGACATGAGTTGAAACTTCCTAAATTAAGATCCAGAATCACAACAAATCAAAGAAAGACTGGATAAATAGGACTGCATCAACTGAAGAATTTCTGCTTGGCAAAGGACATAACTAGCAAGAAAAATAACCCACAGAATTGGAGAAGAGCTTTACTAGCTATGCATCAGACAAGGGCCTAATATCAAAAAATTAAATCCGCCAAAAGGAAATTCTGTCTTTTCTTTAGAGTATTAAAGTTTGAACTCATGCTTGCTAGGCATGTACCAAATTTGAGCACCCAGGCCCAGAGTTCAAGCCCCATGACCAACAACAATTGAAAGAGCCGGTTGCTGGTGGCTCACGCCTATAATCCTAGCTACTCAGGAGGCTGAGATCTGAGGATCGCAGTTCAAAGCCAGCCCAGGCAGGTAAGGAAAGTCTGTGAGACTCTTATCTCCAATAAACCACTAGAAAATCGGAAGTGGCACTGTGGCTCAAGTGGTAGAGCGCTTGCCTTGAGCTGAAGAGTGCAGGAACAGCGCCCAAGCTCAGAGTTCAAGCCCCACAGCCGACCAAAAAAAAAAACAAAAAGAAAGACAGACAGACAGGAAGGTAGGAAGAAAGGAAGGGAGGAAGGGATAGCGGTAGGGAAAGAGACAAATACAAAGACAGAGTCTTGGTAGATGTTACAAAGAAGGAAGGAAGAAAGAAAATGATCAAATTTATAGGCCAGGAGCCAGTGGTTCATGCTTGTAATCCTAGCTACTAAGGAGGCTGAGATCTGAGGATCAGGGTTCAAAGCCAGCCCGGGCAGAAAAGTCTGTGAGACTTTTTGTTTGGTCGGTTGTGGGACTTGAACTCCAGGCCCAGAGTTCAAGCCCCAAGACTGATAAAAACAAAACAAAACAAGGGGCTGGGAAGGTGGCTCAGTGGTAAAGTGCTTGCCTTGCATGCATGAGGCCCTGGGTTTGATTCCCCCACATAAGCGGAAAAAGCTGGAGGTAGCACTGTGGCTCAAGTAGTAGAGCACTAGCCTTGAGCTGAAGAGCTGAGGGACAGTGCCCAGGCCCAGAGTTCAGTCCCCACAACTGACAAAAAAAAAAAAAAAAAATTTGAGCCATACCTTAAGCTGTTTGCCTTTTCAGTTATTTTTCTGATAGGGTTTCCTGCTTTTTGCTCTGGCTGACCTTGAATGGCAAGATCCTCCTTATTTACATCTCCCACAAGGCTGCAGTTACAGACCTGGATCAACATACTTGGTTGGCTTGTTGAAATGGAATCTTGCTAACTTTTTGCTATACTGACTGTCAACCACCATCCTTCCAATCTCAACTTCCTATAGCTAGGATTATAGGCACTCACCCCCATGCTGGGTCCTCTCCTTTACTTTCTTGATAACCAAGGCTAGAAGTAATCTTTCCCTCTTTAGAACTACTAAGGCATTTATCTACATGCTTCTTTCAGGCATCTCTTACTTCTTATTTCTTTCTGTGTACATTTCCCATCTGTTCTGCTAAACTGAGATGTCACTGAAGGCAGGATTCATGTAGCCCTTCACATGTAATTGAATTCTCTACATGGTAAACATCCAATAATTACATGTATGAGCAAATGCATTTTCTTATAAATCAAAATATTTCTTTAAACAGAAAACTCTAAAACATTCTAATTTTAAATGATCTATAATAATCACTATATCTAAAGTCCTATCTAATATTTAAGAAAAATAGCAGTTTTAATCATTTAAAAAATAAATGCATAGGTCTAAGTAGAAATGAGAGTCCAAGCAAGGTGCTCATGGCTCACATCTGTAATCCTACTCAGAAGGCTGATATCTAGAGAAAGAATTGTGGTTTTAGGCAAGCTCAGGTAAAACATTTCTCTAGGTTTTATCTTCAGGAAAACCTAGGATGGCCAGGCACCAGTGGCTCATGCCTGTAATCCTAGCTACTCAGGAGGCTGAGTACTGAGGATTGTGGTTCAAAACCAGCCAGGGCTTCAAAATTAAGTCTGTAAGACTCTTATCTACAATTAACTAATAAAAAGCCAGAAATGGAGCGGTGGCTCAAGTGGTAGAGTGCTAGCCTTGAGCAAAAACAGATCAGGGAATGCATCAAGGCACAGAGTTCAAGCCTCAGGACCAGCACATAAACCAATAAACAAATATATGCTAGGTGGAGAAATGATTTAAGTGATTGAGTTGCCAGCCTAGCAAATACAAAATTAGAATCCCCTCAGCAGTTTACAGAGGGAAAATACACTAAGCCTCAGAGCAGCAGCTGTAACAAACTAAAACTAACCATACTTGCCTTTAAAAGGATCATGACTCAAAAATGCAAAATTTAAGAATTCAAAAATTTGAAAGAATTCAATTCCATTTAACTGGTGTCTAAGACCTGTCTCTGGAGACAATTTTGTGTGTGTGTGCTGGTCCTGGGGCTTAAACTCAGGGCTCAGGTTTTTTAGTTGCTCAGTTGCTCAAAGCTATCACTCTACCACTTGGGCCAAAACTCTACTTTCAGCTTTCTGGTGTTTAACTGGAGATAAGAGTAACCATTGAAAAAGAAAAAAAAAAAAAGAGTAACCATTGGCAGTCAATATTCAAGCCACTGTGGGCATCTCACAGTCTCAGACACTATGTACTAACTTGTGGTTCAAAGGAGAGCTTTCTTCTTCATATTTCCCTGATACTCATAAAAGTACCTATCCCACATGAGAGTCAACAAATACTTTCTGAAAATACAGTGGAAGGATGAGGCAGGAAGGTGCCATCCACAGAGTGGGTGCTCCTGGAACCATCTATAATCCTCTAATGTGTAGCAGTTGGCTCCCGCTATCCTGGGCCAAGGCAACACTGCCAGAGAATGAACAAGTATAGGGAGCTTTCCTTTTCTACTTGCAAACTCCTCAGAGTTGCCAAGACACCCTGCTGATACCTGTTCATTGACAAGAGAACAGTAAGACCTACCGAAATGGCTTTTCTCCTGTGTGGGTTCGAACGTGCTTCCTCAGATCACTGAGTGTGGTGAAGTATTTGCTGCAGCCTTGAGATTCACAGTTAAACGTTTTCCCTGTGTGAAGCCTTTGATGTGCTTTCAACCTGCAAAACATCCCAGAGAAATGCCCTATGGTATAATGTACTACAGAACCTCCTGTGCAGCCTAATGTACTGCAGGATCAAGTACTTATGAATCCCATATCTAGGGTATATTAGTATCCACTAAAAAGAGGTTGAGAGAAATAAACAGTGCAATAGTGACTACTCACTGGCTGGGCTTCAAACCTCCACCCTACATCTTACTGGATTAAGTCTGCTACAGAAATGCTTCTACTTACCTAACCACTTAAGACTTGAGCCCAGCATTCTGTGTGCTTTCAAAGTATTAGCTACTGTTATTACTGTTTTCTCTAGCTAATATTGGAGACTAGTGTAAGTCTCCTGATACAAACAGAGGAAGGAGAAATAGTCATCCATTCACAACTTCCCATTTCTCAGGACAGAAAGAAATTATCTTCAGGGTAAGGAGGAAAAAAAAATTACAGAAGATTTAGAATGAAGATCCTGTTCCAAGGGGACCAGTTCCTCTACACTAGCTAAAATTCCAAGGCCAGAATGTCACTCCATGAGCTCTAAAATCTAAACAGAGATGAACTATTACTACTCAGCCTAAAGCATTTCCACTACTAGATGTCCCATAGAGAAGCACAACGGTGAATTATCTCTCTTGCTGAAGGTAACAGCTGGCAGCCACAGGTTAGAGCAGGGTCAGAAGCTGGTGAAGCCATGGAGGAGAGGCCAACCTGTACAGTGTGTTGAATGCCTTTTCACAGCCCTGCACATCGCACTCAAATGGCTTCTCCTTCGTGTGCACTCGCACGTGGATCCTGAGGCTGTAGGAGGTGAGGAAGGCCTTGCCACAGCCTTCTTGATTACAGACAAAGGTGTATTCTCCTCGGTGAGTCTTCTGGTGGGTGCGCAGGTTACCTGCTGTGCTGTAGGTACGGGGGCAGCCCTCGAAGGTGCACTGGTACCGCTTCACCTGGCAGACAGAAGATACCTCATCAATGGGGCAAAATGACTGCCCACACTTACCTCCTTCTGAATTCAGCTGCCAGGAAATGTTGGAGAAAATACAAATGGGTTTCCATCATAAACACAGAAAACCACCTCCAAGGGCATGGGAGAAACCTTCTTGTTGTTCAAAGCACACATAGACAATGCATAGTAAGTATTTGAAGTGACAGTGGTTTTACACACTGCTGTCCATCTATCTCTTGACATATAAGTATATGTTTTCATATGAAATCTTCACATTGTTTTAAGGTGTGATTTAAATTTTTTTCCCTCTGGCACTCCAACTTGATTAGAATTGACCAATGTTAAAGATATTTGCTGACCAATGTAATACTGAGTCTAAAGCATCCTGAAATTGATATAACTAATCAACAGACAGTATTCAGGATTTCTCTGAATAGTTGCCACTGCTTATTTTCAAATCCTCAAAAGAAATGAAAATGCATCATGAATTCTTGGAATATCTGAAAGTATGTAGCATTTTTCAGATCATCAGCCTGATGCTCTCAGTATAGAGGCTTGAACTCAAGGCCTCCTGTTTTCACTCAGCTGTTGCTCTACCACTTGAGCCACTCCTCCAGCCTGGGTTTTTGCTGGTTAGTTAAAGTCTTTGAAACTCAATCCTCTAGGTCTCAGCCTCCTGAATAGTTAGAATTATACTTGTGAGCTACAGGAACCTGGCTCACTACGAACTTCTTGACATGGAAGGAAATGGCAGGGCTACATGCAAGCCTCCATCTCCCTCAATGTCCATGTGCTCCTTGGCAAACTGGCTGCACTGTGTGAAACTATTCTTTTGAACTGCCTGGTACTCAGCCTCTTTCACCCACCCATAATGTCCTTGATTATCTGCAAATATATCCACTGATATACCAGTGCTTTGTCCTGAAAATTCATACTTCTCAACACAGCAGTGCCACAGGACTGTCTCTTCTGAGAGGCTACTCTCTTCTCTCCTAACCTCTAAATAGAGGTGTCTAAAATTTGCCTCTTGAACAAGGCATTTGAATTTTCTGAGCTCCAGGTTCTTTATTTCTCAAATGCAAGTATAAATACCTTTCCTGCCTATCTCACAGGACTCATACACACACACACACACACACACACGCACACGCACGCACGCACACACGCACGCACATATATACACACACACATATGCTAGTATTATTGTCTAGCTTTAAACAACATCTTTGTATGCACAAATCTTGGGGCTTTTTTAAAGTAATTTTTAAGAAATAGTCTTCCCGCCCAGCACCAGTGGCTCACACCTTTAATCCTAGCTACTCAGGAGGCTGAGGTCTGAGGATCAGGTTCAAAGCTAGCCTGGGAAGGAAAGTCCATAAGACTATTATCTCCAATTAACCACCAGAAAACCAAAAGTGGCACTATGGCTCAATATAGTAGAACCCTGCCTTGAGCAAAAGAGCCCAAGCCCTAAGTTTAAGCCTTACAACCAACAACAACAACAACAACAAAAAGGGGTGGTGGTAGTTGTCTCCCTAACATAGCTCAAGGACTCAATCCTCCTGCCTCAGTCTTCTTCCTAAGTATTGGGTCTGTGCCAGCACTCCCCACTGGTATGTACAAGTCCTAATCTTTCTCCAAGGCAGCAATCCGTGTCTCCAGCTTTATGTACTATAGTACATTGATGCTATTTACTTAACAGCTACTGAACTACTATGCCTTAGACAACAAATTCAGTATCATGGAGAAAAGACAAAAATCTCTGAGCCTACAAACAAACACACACATACACAGTACTTTGGGAATATAAAAGGAACTTTAATGACGTGACTGTAAAAGGGGGATGAAGGATGGTTAATGGGCAGGGCAGATATGTGAATATTCTAAAAGTAATATATGTAATGAAAATGGCATAATAAAACCCTCCAACAACTATTTAAAAGAAGGGAGAAGGGGGGCTGGGAAGGTGGCTCAGTGGTAGAGCGCTTGTCTTGCATGCCTGAGGCCCTGGGTTCGATTCCTCAGCACCACATAAGCAAAAAGAAAAAAGCCAGAAGTGGCGCTGTGGCTCAGGTGGTAGAGCACTAGCCTTGAGCTGAAGAGCTGAGGGACAGCGCCCAGGCCCAGAGTTCAGGCCCCACGACCGGACCCCCCCCCCAAAAAAAAAAAAAAACAAAGAAGGGAGAAGGGAGTAGAGGGGCTAAAAGTTATCTAGATGGGGCAAATTTGATCAAACTACTTTATATGGGTATTATAAACATCACAGCGAAGGTTTTTTGGTACAGTTAGATTTAAGTTCATAAGTGTTCTTCAATGATCTTCTAACCCCTCCTAAAATGGAATCAATGAAAACCCAGAGACAAAAGATGTTTCTGACTCAAATTTGTTTGGGGGAGAGGGGTTGGGCGTGGGACTTGAACTAAGCCTAGGTGCTGTCCCTCAGATCTTCAGCTCAAGGCTACCACACTACCTCTTGAGCCACAACGCTACTTCCAGTTTTCTGAGGGGTTTATTGGAGATAAGAGTCTCACAGAGTTTCTTGCCCGGGCTGGCTTTGAACCGCGATCCTCAGATCTCAGCCTCCTGAGTAGCTAGGAAAGGCCTGAGCCACCAGTGCCTGGTTCTGATTCGAATATTTTTTAACTCTTTTGTTTTTAGCTGAGCTAACAAGGTATTTTTCAGATAATCCAGTAGAGAAAGGCCCTGAAAGAGGGAATAAGCATGAGGACAACTGCGCATGTAGGTATCGTTATCCACAAAAAATGGCACTATGTGAGAGATTGGATGGAGTAAGAAAAACAAAAAGCTGGACATGATGGCAAATGCCTGTAATCCTGGCACTTGGGAAACAGAGAGGAGGATGGAGAGTTTGAGGTCAGCTCAAATGGAGTATTGTGATAGCTGGGCGTCACGCCTATAATCCTAGCTACTTAAGAGGCTGAGATCTGAAGATCATGGTTCAAAGCCAGCCTAAGCAGGGAGATCTGTGAGACTCTGATCGCCAATTAACCACCAGAAAACCAAATGGTGTTGTGGCTCAAGTGGCAGAGTGCTAGCCTTAGCTGAAGAGCTCAAGGACAGCTTCCAGGCCCAGCATTCAAGCCCCATGACTGCCAAAAAAAAGGGGGGGGGGGAGAAAGAAAGGAAGGAAGGAAGGAAGGAAGGAAGGAAGGAGGTGATAGTGAACATCATGACATGAATGCCATGGAAATTAAGAATAAAGTGACCAGCTGCCATAGGGACAACGGGGTGCTGAGGACTGAGAGCGGCAAAGTGGAGAAGCTAAGATCAACTCTCAAAATTATGGCCTGCAGGCCAATATAAATTGTGAGGCTACCACTATGGGTTGAATGGGCCCAGGAAGAAATGTCTAATATACACATGAACATACAGGCTGCAAAAGAAGACTTTATAGGGTGCTAGGAATGTGGCTCTGCAGTAGAGTGCTTGCCTAGCATTCATGAAGCCCTGGATTCAATTCCTCAGTACCACATACACAGAAAAAGCTGGAAGTGGCACTGTGGCTCAAGTGGTAGAGTGCCTTGAGCAAAAGAAGCTCAGGGACAGTGTCCAGCCCTTGATTTCAAGCCCCAGAACTGGCACAAAAAAAAAGAAGAGGAAGAGGAAGAAGAGGAAGAGGAAAAGGAAGAGGAAGAGGAGGAGGAAGAGGAGGAGGAGGAAGAAGAAGAATGAGGAGGAGGAAGAGGAGGAGGAGAAGAAGATGATGAAGAAGACAACGATGAAGATTCTAATGGCAGAAGCCTTTGGTACACAGTCAACAGCTGACTTTACTTGTAACACAATACTAAGTATCAGGTTCAGGTATAAGGCCCAACTCTGCCAGTTACAAAAATGAAACTTACTGAGCCTCAATTTCCTTACTTATAGAGGGGCCAAAAATCTATCTTCTTTTAGTTGTTGCAAAGAATATTATTAAGAATAATTTATGTAAAGCATTTAATATAGTAATTGACATATATACCAATCAAGTATACCCAATATCCAATGAAGTAATAGCTCTCATAAGAGGACAAAAGGCAGCCCCCAAAGCTACTAAAATTCAACCTACTAGTGAAAGAAGAGAAGCCTTTGGTGAGTAAGTGGGAGAAGGAAGCATAGAGGCAAAGAATGTCATAGAAGCCAAAAGAAACAGGGTGTCGATGAAAAGGAAATGATCAAAATGTCAAATGGCAGAGAAAATAAGGAAGCCAAGGACTGGGGAAACACGCGGATCACACCTAGGAATTCACTAGTGACTCAGCAAGACTCACGAACAAATGACTGGGGCAGGGGTCAGGATGGAAGTGAATAAATAAAAAAGGAAGTGGAAAGAGTCCAGATGGTAGGCAAACGCACAAGGGGACTTGTGGTGTTCTTCATAAGACTAATTTTTTTGCTTTGTTTTGATTTTGGCTATATTGAGTTATAAACTCAACCTTCATGTGTTAGGCAAGTACTCTAGCACATGCCTCCAGCCCTTTTTGGTTTAGTGTTTTGTTTTGTTTTCCAGATAGGGCAGTTTCTGCAGGGGGGGGGGGGGTGTTGTTGTTGCCTTAGACTGTAATCTTATCTCCACCTCCAACTAGCTTAGGGTTACAGACCTACACCATCCTGTTGGTGCTAGATCTGGAGCAGATTTTAAGGGAGAAATGTCCTGGAAGATCTAGGGAGTAACAGAAAAAAGAGAAAAGGCAATATTGTATATGTAAGGGCTTTAGCTCAGTGGTAGAATGACTACTTGGTATACAATAACTGAATTTGGTTCCCAGCACACAAAACCACCTGGATGGAGAGAAAAGCATAAGGTTGGTAGTTCAGAGCCATTCAGTTTCAAAGACAAAAATGGAAAATAATGGGTGTGATCAAGGAGAAACAGTTTTCTTTTGATTTCATGGTCTGTCTCAGCTACTCAACCCTACTACTGAATAATAAAGTAACTGGAGACATACATAAAACAACAAGGCTATGTTCAAAGAAATTTATGGACAGTGACATTTGAAG